CATCTTCGGAGGCACGCTGGCAAAAAGCTTCCCTCTGCCTCCACTCTCAACTAACCCAGCGTTCTTCAACTTACGCCAGTCGTACAGGAACTCCGTTTTTCTCCTTAGAGTTGCCGTATTAGTCGAGAATTTAATTACGATTTAATTATTTTTTTCTGACCTTTGCTCTCTTGTGCAGTGTGCGCGGCTATTATAGAAGATCTGTCTTTCAAGGTCGAACGTAGAAGCACGCATTAAATCGTTTTTGTCCCGGTTGGCACAAGCAAAAAACCCGTAAAATTTAGGATTCTCGTGACGAGCTCAACTCTACCGTGGAATGTGTGCAGCTGCGCGTAAGTGCTACGGAGAACAATCACGGGAAGCGACTGAAACGGTGCTCTTCGTGGTCGCCGAGGCTTAGATTTCTTGTTACGGGGAACGAAAAGAAGAAAGACGTTAGCTCGATTCCGGGTAAAAGAACGACGCGATCTCGTGCGACTGAAGCGAAATCAAACATCCAGTTCGACTCCATTTCCTTAATTATTGGGAAATAAATTGGATATTCATACGAAACTTGAATGCACTAGAAATATAAAGAATTTAATGTGCAAAATATCAAGAATATAATATACATTATTATTGAACAGTGAAATAAATGTCATTTCTTAACGTTAACATTGCAAGTGCATTTTATTTTAAACCAAATTAATTCAATACATCAGAAACAGATTTATTACTCAGCGTTTATCTTTAATTAACCACCGTCTTATTTTCTTTTTATGAAGAGAAATTGAATTTTCGACGAACGATGTTATCGTTCTCAACCGGAGAACGCTAGGACCGTAGTATAATTAAGCGCTAGCAAGGATGGCGAACGCCGGTACGCTTATTAATTATTTCCAGCAGAGACATCGCACAGGGGCGGATGCGAACGCGTTTCACGTGTGATACACATTTCTGATTGCGCAACCACCATCTTTCCTACCGTCAACGTGGAGTTCAAACGAGGTCGCGGCTAATATGCGAAAAATTCTAAACGTCGCTATTATTTCCAGAAATCATAGTTATTCTTCATTAAATTGTTCTAATAAAACTGGCTGGTCAAAATAATTTTGAAAAAAAATGTTAACGATCAGATTTACAATTTTACTGACTAATTTCGATTCTAAAGATGAAAGTTCTTCAAATAAGAAAAGAAGTATGTTAAAACATGCGAGTCATGTTTACCATAAATAAATTGTACTATAACTCGAAATGGTGCTACAAACACACGCTTTCCAAGCACTCGTTTAATCATTCCCATCATTTCAGAGGATTGTAGGTTTTAATTGCAGATGGAAGAATCTCCAAGTTCCACCGATTCTTTTCCCGTGTCTTATCGAGCGTCAGAATCTCTAGGATGATTCTAGCATCTTAATTCACCTTGTACAACAAAAATGCTTGGTAGCAGAAGTAATTTGAAGCATCTGGAGCGAAGTGATAATACAAGTCACATGCTCGAGTAATTGGATCACGCATCGTAACGTGATTGGGTAAGAAGAATCGACCTACGATAACGCCCACGGATTGACTCGGTTTCTATAGGTTTCGACCGATGAAATGACAGTACCCGTGCACCGTGACCTCGACAATGCCTTTCGCCGTCTGGGCGCACAGCCAGTTTCATCGGTGACATAAGAAAACAGTCACCGTTCGAAAAGTATTGCACTTTTAGGAATCGGTTACAAAACTAATTTGCAATCACGGTTTCAAGAGAAATTACTCATCTTATTCACATCGGTTAGTAAGAAAGGTGATGTGCCAATTATCGACGATTTTCTACTGATCCCGAATTTCATGCTAATCGCTAAATCACAGGCTTAATCGATGTATTGAAACGAGTTCAATAAGGATTAACGAGGATTATCTCAGAGAGTAAACAGCCGACTCTCACTTTCGAGAATTGCGTGAAATGCTTTTCATTTCCTTTTATATTTAAACCAGAGAACGCGGTGAACGTGCAAAACGTTCGGTTCACGTTTGCACGGTCACGTTTTAACGGGCGCAGAATCGGCGCGCTGGAACACCGCGGATATGGCTTCATTGTGCATCTCTGGATGCTGTTAGTTGAGGCAATGGCTCGAGGGATTCCGCGAATCGGACACCAGTAATCGATTTTAGTCGTGGTGCGAAGGAGCACGAGCCACAAGCAAATGATGGGTGTAATGTATTCCGAATGCATTTGCAAGATAATGGAGCCCTCCCAGCGCCGGTCGCTTCACTGTGAAAATAGATTACTGCGTCCTGAATTCCATGAAACTCACAATAGCCTAATAAATTCGAAGCTTGAGAATTGTCACATACTTAAGGATACTCTTTTCTTTTGGAAGAATCACATGATAAAATTCTTTAAGAAAAATAATTCTTAATGGAATCTTTCATGTCTTAGGCAATTTGTGCATTTTATTTAAGAATGTATGAGCCGTAAGATCTCTGGTAAAAATTTAGGAAATTTAATAAAAACCTATGTCCAATATGTATCTGAAGCCTTCCATAAAATTTGTAGTCTACTTATCAAACTGATCCAACAGTACTAGCGCTTTCAGAAACTTGTTATATTGAAACACAACAAATCGCAATAGCTTAACGAATCAAAGCAGACGCATCTCCGAGAATTCAAGCTTACCACGTCATTCTTCTCCTATTTGTATAAAATGACGTTTGAGGTAACGCTTAAATTAACTCGCGAAGCCATGAAGGGAAAGTTGTCGCGCAATTCTTCTTTTATAGAAATAAAAAGTGAGAAATATGTACGTGATTTGGGTTCAAGTACAATATTTTATTGATACGTGCTCTTCGAAAGGTTTCAATCTATCCTGATGAAATATAATAGTACAAGTACTTTCGAAAAGATTATATTACGTCGTGAATTTTCTTTTCATATTTACTGATCTGATAAATAGTAAAATATATAAATAGTAGAAATTTGTAATCTGGAGTACAGTATCACGTCTAACGGTTAATTTCCGGATTAATATCGTATCATTGGATTTTTTGCAATCTACAGTGAAGCCTATTGCACATTTCAAATCTAATAATAAAAAAGTTATTCAGTCTGGAAATATCTATGAATATTCATGCATGTCACTGTATCTTGAAATGGCTTTAGAATTTACAAGTTTTAAGTGGCACACTAAAGCAAGAACCACTGCAACTTTATAAAAAATAGTATATAATGTTAATTCGTCCCGTATTAGACCGCAAGATCACGCATATTTTTCCATTCCCGGGAACAGGACTTACGCAATGGCCGCTGGTAAAAATAGGTACTTGCGTTAGATCCGGAGTGATGACTTAAATCCGTGGTCCATTAAAATGCCACCAAAGGGTCCGCACCACTTTGTCAGTCACCGTATCCTTACTTTTCCTCTTTACTGTGCTTCATCGAAACTGCTCACTCACTCACATCGTCCTCGAACTCGGAGCACTCGTTTTCGCCGCTTAATCATCCTAGGATCCTTTTTGCACATCGCGTACCTCGTGAAAGCACTCGCGGCCGCAAAACCGGATCCCGGAGCCAGCGAACTTCTACAATATGTATCTATGTACGTGCATGTACCCGCTTGTCACAGAAAGTGTCGGGCTCGAATTCACTGTATCTCCGATCGAGCTCGGGGCGATCGATCTACCTTGGAAGAGCACTGAGACGTTGAGTTTGATTCGTTTTCAGAGTCCTTTAACGGTCGAGCTGGGTTGCCGGAGGAATTTGCATGTGCGGCTTAAAAGGAAACATCTAAATTCCTGTGCACTTTATTTAGCTCGCTGAAGAACAGGCTTTATTCAAGGTCAGCGGTAGAGAAGATTTCAACGAGTTAGATAATGGTCTCTTGATGATTATTGGAATTCTCATGGGTAGAGAACTCGTGTTGTAAGTATCGAGAGTAGAGTTGCCAAACCAGACTGAATTTGCAACCGCTTATGGGCTGTGGTCCATTTTTCGCCGACTTTTACCGAGCACTTTCTAAAGTCGTAACCCACCGACGAAACCGGAAGCGGATCGAAAAAAAATCACGAAGATGGCTCACCAAATATGTACTCGTACGCACGAAGAAAGTGCAACGAACCGACCTGAGAACGTGACGAGTATTCGCTATCTCGCGGCGCGCAGAAAATAAAAAAGAAACCAACTAACAACGTTACGCCCAGGTAGTCGCATAATTTCTGATCGGGTGCCGCGCGCACACCTCGCGCTCTCATCCTTGACACCATCTGCCTAAAGGATGTGCTAAAGGTCGGAACCAACGCTGACATAATCAACTATGCACCTATTCGATGCAACGAACAGAACCGTTCCTACAAATTCTATCAGCCGTCTCTTCTACACAGCCTGAAATCGATGCACGTAGATATTTTACGGTATCGAATTCTCAATCGAACGCGAGATGAAAGTGATGCAGCGTTACACTTTCCTCGAGACGACTTTCGACAACCTTCTCGCTGATGTGGAATTATTTCAAGGCCAAGCCGAAGTCAGAGAGGGAGGAGAATTTTGGTACCATAATCGCTGAGCGAGCCCTTGGAAAGGAATCGTCCATTTTGGAGAACCTTGCAGACTTCAAAGTGTAATTATATTAATTATCCAATGTTCTAGAGTATCCTTGATGGGTATACGATTTTTAAGCGGTATTGGATAGGCACTCGCGAATGTTCCTTCGGAACAACCTTGACTCCAGAAGAGGGCAAAGCCGATCAGTGTTGGATTCAACGACCGAGAGTGTTCTCTATCTGGATACAAAGTTAATGCTCTCCATCAGGTTTGTAAGAGTAGCGAGAAGAGAAGAAATGAGCCGTCGCCGGATATTGATAATGTCCTGGTCTGGTTCACCAGATTGCAGGGGAAGGAGACCACTTCCCATCGTAAGGGTTAACGGAGAAGAAACACGAAGCACCGGGTAATCCAGGTGGTATGATTAAAATCGGAACCACTGCGTTGCGCCAGGTGGAATCCTCGTACCCTTCGAAGCACACTGTCAGCAACTTACCCGTCCCCATGGCTGACAGGAGCCTCCTTCAGCCACGATCCTTCCGTCTATGCTTTGTCCAATCTTGGCTGGTTTCACTATTCGGTTCCACGGTAACGAAATTAAAAAAAAAAAAAAATAAATAAATAAATAAACCACCTGTCGGTGACTGGGGTTTTGAGAAAAGGACGAACTCCTCGTCCAGCCGGGAGACCGCGGACGAACTGGTGGCTGGCGAAGACTTTTGGTGAGACTTCGACGTGAGACAACGGCGACGTCATCGCCGGCCTGGTGTCTCATTGGTCGACGATCCTGCTCTTTGCTTCGGCGAACCTCTCTCTTTTCTACGACCTCCTCTCTCACCACCTCGTCCTCCGTCCTCCGCGTCCGCCCCCTTTCCGCTTCCTCACCTGCTCCGATCTCTCGGTCTTACCTGCCTCGGCGCACTCCCACGGGCCCCTGGGAGAACCACCGCGCAGAGAACTCCGCGATCGACGCGCGAACTCGAAGAACTCCACGCCTGGAACCGATCTCCCTCGACCGAGACCGTGCGCGAGACCGCTTCCCTAGAAGGTTTATCGGCCACGGGACGGAGCTAGGGTTTAAGATATCGGGAGGATGGATGGTCCTGTTGCCCGAGGTCACTCGACGCGACTACTAGAAATTTCGGATGCCGTGCCCCTCAAGGTTGTCTGCCTATATGGGACGCCGGTTCATATCTTTTCATTCGGACCATAGAATTTCTTAGAATACGTTACAATATCATGTATTGGGTTGTCCGGATAGATCATGCCGATTTTTATTAGGTAGGCAATTCGGAATGAATCAGAATTATGGGAAACAATTGTATATTGGGTTGGCAAATAAGTTTGTGCAGTTTGAATAAATTGATTCGAGCGATGTCAAAGCCATTATCAATAGAAATCCATCCCAATCGAGAGATTGTTACGACACTCAATATGTACGAGTTTAAAAAATTAATCTATCCTCTATGTCAAAGAAATTGTGTTTCATTCTGCCGCAAAAAATTTGCCAAGCAAATATATTTAAAAGGTGATATTTCAAGCATATTTAGAAAGAGTCATTATTCAATGAGATTATGTCGATGTTTAATAAATTAAATGTTACAAAGTGAAGCAAGAATCATGTAAAGACTGTTATTTGCACGCAATAAATTCCGATCTTTTATTATCGTTTATCAATACATTACGTCGACTTAGTATTCAATAAAGAAAGTAAGAAAAACGGGATAGGGGTTAAATTCTGCCAAGCATAATGGCAACAGCACGCGGTTGATACATTATTCAATAGTACAGGTGTGAAAGCCGTGGGCACATTTTTTCATGGGGCAACGTTTGGAATTTCTCGATGCACCAGTTCGTCCAGTTTTCTTCCGCGAGATCGCAAATCAAATCAAGAGACGTCGAGCGTTTTGCCGGTGACACGACACTGGTTTCCTGCTCGGCGTTCTCGTTCCCCGTGAATCGACACGGCAGGCCGTAGATTAAGCGTAATGGTGCAAAGTATAGAGCCGCGTCCGTGGATTCTTCGGCGTGGCCTCCGCCTGTGAAGTGCCTCGAGGCGCCGGAGTTCAGCGACACCGATGTACTCTAGCCGGGCTACACGGTGTCATTAGAGTCGCGCGAAACGCGTGTAACTTCATGGCCTCGTTCAACGGCACTGGAATCGCAAGAAAAATTTGTTACTTCAAAAGGAAAGTGGATAAAAATGATTTAATTTAAGTCCAGCGACATGAAAAAGGCTTGAGTCGAATTTGTTTTTAAAAAACTTAGTATTCTTCTTTACTATAAAAGATTTTAGTGTTCCAATCAAAGTCCGTGTTTCCATATCTGATGTAACTACAAGTTTTTAGCGCGAACCGTTTAGAAGTCCAAGAATGAAAGTGTGCGAAACCGAAGCTTCACTTAGACCTGAGCATCCAATAATTACATCGCAAATATTTGAGTTTCCACCGACGAAACGGCCATCAACTTCTTGCCGACATCCTTGAAGCTATTCAGTCCACGACTTTTTATTTCATTCTACCACCTCGGGCTATACTACATGGTATCTACAATACAACGTATTAACAGTATGTTGAATGCCGGATCCCTTGAATTTTTCCTTCCGTGGATCGGAGCAACGATCCGTGAGCCACGATGCAATCTTTTAAAGCATCGAGCAACGATCCATGAGACATGCTCAGGGGAGATTCTTGGCTTCCGTGAGTCCAGTCAACGATCCATCCCCGCGATATCAAACGATCTTTGACCCGTTAAAATCTTTGGCATCACATTCTTCGTAGTAATGCATTTTATGTGACAAACATAAATAGCGTTGTGAACTTATTTAAGATTGTATTTTGGATTCATAAAAATATTTATAACAATGCGATATAATGTTGTATTTCTTTTATCAAAAGTATCATAAGAATACCATAGAAAAATATGAATTAATTATTTGACAATCATTGTGATTGCTAAAATAGTAGTGTTGAAGTCTCTACACGGTAAGAGAGCTTGTATCCGATTGCGGTAACTACGAATTGCATGCCTTGGGAACAGAGCTTATGCTTAGAACCCGAGCTCGCCGACGTATAGGTAACGGATTCGTGAGGGCACGCGTTCATTTCGTATTCTTTTCGACGATGCGTCATCCGCCTGGCCAACTGCGGACAACTCCGACGCCAAGCCGATCGGTTGCTCGATCAAATTTCAAACGCTTCGCCGTCGCCACGCAAACCACCCTGCAATTAGCCCTCTCGTTGGACATCTTGTAAATTTTTTCGGTCACGCTCAGCTGCCCTGGGATGACGAGAATGAACACTGACACCGTTGGGGAGCAAAAGCCCTTCCGTAATAAATACTTGTCCCTTTAAGATCTCCTCTTGGTTAAGCAGCTCCGGTTGCAATCTTCCTATCGGTAGCAACTCCTTTCTTCTTCTTGCCATGAATCTTGTAGCTCGATGCAAGAAGTGTCAATGTCATATTTTTGGAAAAACCAGTTCATGAGCAATTGTATATTTTACGTAATATCTAGAAATTACTGTAATAACATTTTTATGTGCGAAATTCTTCCTAAAATGAACTGAACCAATATTTGTAAAGTACACAAATAGCATAAGCTTTATATTAAGCTTTTATGTGTTAGAAAAGATATGTGAAACAGCAGATTCTACTGTGTCATATGTTACTCGAACATGAATTATTTCACGTACCCTTAAGTGTAAAATATCGCACTAAACTATAGAATCGTTCTCCCATCGCATCGAATCAGGACTTCCTCGACTTAACGCTTGATTATCGGTTACCCTGAACGAAACGTGCGTTTAATGCACGATAATGATGGATCGTCCTGGCAGAAAAAAATCGATCTACACCGAGGTATTTGAATTTCGCGGAAAAACACGGAATACTTGTTCGACAGCGTTCTTCCGCTTATCTATAGGAGCGTAGAACGACGTGCGATTAAAATACCAGCCAATATCGTCGGTGGTCGCGGGGTAATTGACCAATTTGCAAACGAGCCGGGCACGTGTCTCCGCGACGTGAATGATCGCCGTTCCGTTGATTCATCGCGAGTCGCAATGTTACGTCACAATGCGACCGCACAGTGGAAGCTTTTCCGTCGCGCGACAAGAATTCCTAGATTGACTGAAGGTCACGAGCGACATGATAATCGGCGAGTTTCCCGCTTTCGTGCCGCGCGTAAAAGCGTCCTCGCTGATTTACGACCCGATCGTTCGTGTTGCGACTAATTAAAACGAACGTGTGGCTTATCCGATTCTTAATGAAATCGTAAGCATTTTCATAAGTTTCCTTAAGGTTGTACAGTCCTTAAATAAAAACAATGACAAAACATTGAAATTTTAACAACTTTAGATATTTTACAAGGCTATTCCTTTTCATTGTTCAACATGAAGAATTTTTATGTAAGTAATTTATATCAGAAGAAATTGCTTCTTGCAAGCATTCTCTGTAACAATGTCGAATGGAACAATTTGCTGTAACGCAGCGTCATGCAACCTGGAGCTATTAAAGTAACTTTTTCATTTCTCACGAGATCTAATAAACGTGAAGACAGCAACGACGTTATTGTAGTCGTAAAGCAAGAGTAGCACGGCCGGCATAAACGCATCGCCCTTGCAGCCATTGAAATCACCATCGGAGTTAATCATCGTCGTGAGCGAACGACCGGACGGGAAGCGATTAGACAAGCAAAAATAAACTTGTCTTAAATATATTTTGCATGATATTAACTCGCAATCTTTAAACTTATTTATCTTTCAGAAAAAGGGTCGTCTTTTAATTATATCTAACGGCGTTTTTATCACGTCAGTGCATCAATTATTATCTAATGCCGTAATAACCTTGATTATATAATTCCTGATCACAGGCGAAGACATCCTCCGACGTTTATTACACTCTTTTTACATGTGGTGTAACGATCCACTGTGCTCACCTTGTGAAAACGGAACCCTGCCTCTTCTTCATCGCTGTCCGACGATCCTCTCGTGAAACGCTATACTGCAATTACGCTTGATGAAATTCAAGGCCGATCATCCTGAACCTATTCCACGTGTCAATGCAACAAGATCGCTTTATAGCGGAACTACATCTTGTTCGCTTTGTTCCTTTTCAATTAATTACTACTCCCTGCGTGAAATGTGAACTATCCGATTGATAGAAGAAACCTGGTTAGTTTAAAAAGGAAAGTTTCTGGTAGGAACGATTTTTTTTAAAATAGGGTAGATGTACGATTCGTGGCCAGTACCTTATTTATTTCAATATATTATGTAAATATTCTGGTGTTAATATTATCAAAATTATATAGAATCTTTGCAGAAGCATCGTATATTGGCATCGTTGTCTATTTTTCTTTTACTGCCCCATTATTTTGTTTTAATTAAAAGTAGTTTAGTGGACGACTGATAAGGAAAGCTCAAATCAATATATTTTATACAAGTGTGAATCAAATTTTTTACGCATTTATTTCACATAACATCTATCCTATTTTTAGGAGTTTTCGAAAGCCTTGACGATTCATAGTCGAATGCGTTACCCACTCACCATGTGGGCAGTCCGAATGATCTCGCGCGAACTGCCCACGCATCGAATCCAGCATTCAGAAAAAAGGTCGAAACCGAAGTAAAATTCTGTGTGTGCAATAAACCTTCTCCGGAGGAATCCTGTGGAGGAATTCTTTTATAAGAATGCATAAAGATACACGTGCAAACGTGATCACGGTGGCGAGTATGGCTATTTGGAGGAAACGAGCAATTAAAGAGTCTTCGTTAACGAAATCATTTAACCGAGGTATGTGTGCCTGGCAGTGAATTCGCTGTGTATCCTTGCCGATGAAATTTCTCTGATTTTTCTTGCCTGCACCGATCGGTATGCAAGAATCCGCGGACGTAGCGAAGCAGAGCAGCGAGCATATTTACTGTCGTAGCCAACCGATGCCGATATGCGATTAGGGCGTCGTCAGATCGCAGGTTCTAAGGATGTTCGTTTTAAGGATACGAGGGAACGAAGATGGCCTGGAACAGGAATGGAAGTGGTGACGCAAGCGTCCGATCTGAACAAGGTTCGCGCACCGGAATCGGTGGAGTGTATTGGTGGTTTCATGGACGACGCATCGGTTCAGTCACCACTGCAAATAGCCGAAGCCGACACGGTGAACTGTTCCGAGGAGCAGTGGAAAAGAATCGAATAATAGAGGAAATGCTAAAAGTTGATTTTCAAAAATAGGCATTAGTCAATCGTTGACCTTGCGGATATACGAGCGGCGTTTTTCTATCCAACGATTTAGTCGACTGTTTAAACGGGAAATGATTTGTCGATACGAGTTGCTCAAGTGATTTACGTAGAAACTGTTAAGCCGTTTTGTTTCCTTTCGCTTAATTTTCTATAGTATCGCAGAACAGTCTTGTTTCCTGTATAATTAATTTAGTAGCACGAATGACGCTTTCGTTAGAACGCACGCAGCTGTTGAGAAATAGAAATGAAAATTATGCCGACAAGAATTAACGAACCCGTTGAAATTCAATGAATAACTTTCGCTGTATAAGGGAATTCCTATATGTGTACTTTTGCTTTTACGATCGCGTTAAACAAAAATGTTTGAGTCGAGTGCATATCGCCCACGGATTCTCGTTATTTCTCCCGCGTTGTGATAGGCACTGCGAGAAATCAAAGAAAATCGAACCGTTGAAAAAAATAGCAGGAATAACAAATATCGCGTACCTCTGATTCAAGGTGATACACGAACATAATATGCAAACAGTGGCCGGATGCATCGATGGTAATTTATCCTACTGAATGGATTCGGCCTTCAATGCTAATTCGTCTAGCGAAAGTTACGGGAGTGATCAAAGACGCGTTAGCGATCAAAGAACCGGAACAAAACGTTCTCCGATCGACCTGTTCGAGATCAATGCACGACCTTCCGTACTTATTAACGTAGCAGTGTTATCGAAAGTGCAGAAGTTTTTGCATGGGAACGCCGCGTAAAAGGACCGAAACGAATAACTTTCGTGAAGGCACATATACATATACTCTCGTTCAAAAGTTTGGAGCATGTTAGGATTTCCTCAACAAGGACATTATTAAATATGTTACGCTTTTTTAGGATAAAAGTGTTAGTTAAACATATAAAAGTAAAAGTTACTACTACTTATTGGAACAACTATAATAATTTACAGAAGCGTCTTTACGCAAAAGACATTTTGGAAATTAATTTTGCTTCCGATTCAACATATAATTTTATGCTTCTTGTACAATAAATACATGTTCGTCGATTTTAGATATTGGGCACGGTAAACAATCTGAAACTGTGCACTAGAAATATAAGTGCAACATATCCCAAAAAAAAATCCGCATATGTGAAAAAATTTCTTTCGTCCAAAAAGTAAGCAGATACTCCAAACTTTTGAGCGAGAGAGTATATGTAGTAGTCACGATCGCGTGGGTTCCAATGTGTGGGTAGGCTGGCCTTCAAAGTCCTTCGGTGGAAAAGTAGGGACCAGGATCATCGCATGCGTGGGCTTCCGGTAGGTGGGAGGACTGGATTAAAGGCATCTTACCATTGCGTGTAACTGTACCTACGTTCGTCGAGAAAGTCGCCGCGTGCCATTATCAAATCTTTACTGATTTATGATCCAAATCATTGAGTAGTATACGAAGATGTAGTAATGTGTCATAACAGATGACAGGGAGAGGTATTTTCAATAAAATCATGATGTATGTACAAGGAAATTGAACACAGTATTGAACGTATTATTTTTATTAATTGGATACTTTAGCTTTCTTTTGTTTACGTTCCTCCTTGCGTTCTTGTTTCTTGGTAGCGTCGTGTATCCGCCTCTTCTTGCGAAGAAGCCATACTTCCTTCGCTCTCTGCTTACGACCTTCCATCATACTCTTATACAAATTGCGATGTCTCTTCTTGATCATTCGCTCGCGCAGACGATATTCCTGCCTCTCCAATCGTTTCTGTTCACGTGGATCTTCCTTCGTTACTTCTCCGGCTTTCACTTTCATTTTCTGTAATTCGGAATATATACAATGCAGGGAAAAGTGATAGAATAGTGTGTACATTTAAATGACCAACCTTTTTCAATTGATTCCGTTGCTTTTCTTTCACTTCCGTTTCTGCCATTTCTGTGTCATTTTCAATTTCTTCTTTCTCTTCACTTGCGTTGTCTGAGTCATCTTCGTCCTCTTCTGCTTTTTCATTTTCATTTTCATTTTCATCTGATTCTTCTTCGTCTAACCAGTAAAAGAAAATAAATATCTATCGTTTTTTATTGTACGCTTGAGAAAGCAAATATGTACCGTCTTTAAGTTTGAAGTCAGGATCCATTAATGCACGTTCCTCTGGTGGGATATATGTCTGATCTTGATGGCTATCAAGGAACGGTGAAAGATGCGGCGGGAGCACGCAACCCATTAAGTATTTTTCCACGGGCAACAATTCCCTAGCGTTTACCGAATCGAAAACCCATTGCGGTTGTACATAATACCTGACAGAATACGAATTAGGTAACAAGTTATATAAAAAATTTGGAAAAAATGTCTTTAGGTATTACCTGGAAATATATTGTTTGGACATGCTAGGTCTGTCCACTATCTGATGTGTTATCCTTTCGTCATTTTCATCGAACGTTGCTCCAACGAAGAGCAACTTGTCCCAGGATACTTCAGCTCCGAAGCAACGTAGGATAAAAACTAAAGGCTCTCTTGGTACTTCTCTATTCAAGAATACTCTTAACCCCTTGAAAAGTGTTTTCAATTTTTTTATTTTCTCGATTTCCATCCTAGCTTCCTCCACTTTCGTAGCATCGCCATCCTAATACAATGATTATATTAGCATATGCATAAGAAATAATATGCACTACTAAAAAAAATTATGGCATCACGAATTTTGCATTACACCTAACACATTTTGGGGACACCCATGTGTACCTACATTGACAAATTGATCCATTTCCATTTCTTCGTCCTCTGCATTCTGGGCTGAAGCATCCAGATTCACTAATGGTACATTTAACGCACCTATCCTTTCCGATACGTAAGCTTCTTCATCCACAAGTAACTTTTCACTATTATCTAGAAATAATTTGTTAAAATAAGAAGTGTCACCTGTATATGCGTGAACTTATAAGAAATGAAGCTTACCGATGCTTGTGAGTTTTGGAGGATAATGTAAATTAAGAGTATGGTACAGTCTATAATTTACGAAGCCTAACATTACAATATAAAATTCTACGAATATCGACATGATTTTGAAGTCCACATCCATCTTCGCCTGTGGTTCAAACCCAAAGTGATGTGGCACAATCCAAGTTATCGTTTGTCCTTTGATCTCAGCTTGATAATAATATCCCTTAATGGATACGAACACTTTGCGCAGAGCTTTAGCAGCAACTACAGCATGTAAAAATTCTACCGTCAATCTTCTGCACAATAAAGATTGATCTCTTGGTATGTGACTGAGAGATGGAAATGTGCTGAACAGGAAGCACAGAGTCAGACAATCATCCAGATCTCTAAGTGCATCAATAAATGTTGGATATCGTTCTTTAACGATATGATCTAACTTTAAATTAGGTTGATCCCTCAAGTATCTTTTTACGTCTTTATATTCTTTCATAGCTCTTGCCTTTGCAACTTTCCTGGTAAATACCTGAAGGAATTTATTATGAAAATCATTGTATGATTTCAATTATATTACAATGGTATCAAGAGGATTTACCTTGACTTCTCTTAACTTCCATATTATTGGTTCATGTAGCAAAAATTGAATGTCTTTTTTATGATACAGTATTTTAATACCAGGTTCCCCTTTCTGCGCCCTTTTACGATTACGTGGCTCCCTTGGATATATACCCTTCAATATGCATAGTCGACGAAAATCTTTTAACGTTAGCTGCAATTTCTTTAAAGCAGCTTTTCTTGACATAAACTGTGACCCTTCACCAGATTGATACTAGAAATTTATGAGAAATACGAATTTAAATTTGTTTCGAATTGTTGATAACCTCAAATTATGCGTCAATACAAGTAATTGATCATTACGTGATTTTGACAAATACCTTTTTCTTTCCTATCACGACCATGTTGAATTACAATAATTACACAATTGGCAATAAAGAATTATATGAACATTTATACAGAAAACAGATTATAAAGCGAATCCATGTGCACGTGCACCTCCAAACCTCTATTTTAAAAACAGGAAGTAGCGCTATCTAGTGTAGTGGGCGGAAGCATGGATTTGACAGGTTCCGACATCTCCCCGATATTTCGGCACTTCCGATTACAGTTGTGCAGTTTAACAAAGACGGTTGTCGCTCGTATAAATGACAAATGATTTAAAATTGACTCAAGTTCACGATTAGGTGGTTGATTAACTTCTAAAGAGTGAACTGTTTTGCATCCGACGTTGAAATCAGCTTTCTAAACAATCAACCCAGTTTTTGTTATTTTCATGCGATCGCTGCTGGTCTTTTACAAAGAGTTGTTAGCTTCAATTAGTGACAATAGAACGTTGTTATTTCAAAATTGAAGTATAATTTTCAGAGATCTTTAATAGTAATTGATGAACACCGTACCGTTTCGTAAATGTAACAATTAATTAAGTGTTTCATTCTCATCTTTAAACTGATTTGATTGTCTGATTGATTGATTGAGTGTATAGTATTCCTTCCCAATTTTGATAAATGTAGTGTATGGAAAGTGAATATCATTGTTATTAGTGACAGTGACCCTCCTGTTATTAAGGCTGTACTGTGATGTGGGAGAAGTGAATTTGCAGTCTTCAGCACAAGGTACGATTGTTTATTCAATATTATTGTTTAACTGAGATTGAAATCCACAATATTACAATTTATTTATGATCTTACTATTATATGCATGAAGAGAAATCGTTTATTAGTTTCTAAGCAAAAATGTAAAAGATGACTGAAGTACAACGAAAAAGCAGTAGCTTCCTTACACTCCGCAAAGTGTCATAAGGTATATTCGTAAAGTAAACAACATTATTATGAATAATTACTGTTTCGAAAACGAATGAAATTAGGTTTTTCTTTTTTGTTAATATTTCTCCGACGCAATGAGATATCCAAAAGATTTTTGCTTCCAATATTACGTAATGAACTCGTTAAAAACTGATCTCTGGATCTTTCAAAATTCACATCCCGCTGGTTTGAAATGTGTTTTTACGTATTTTTCAAGTTTAATAAGTATAGGTTTGATTTTCGTTCACGAAGGTTTCCACATAAATATCTAAAAATCACTTTCAGGATTTTTTATCAATCATCCATAAGGGGGTGAAAAGTATATATTTACAATATCATTCAAGTAGCATAACTTAACCACTTGGTCTTTATTTATTAAATATTTTTGTTCTATACATACACGATATATATACACGATAATTATAACACGGATGCTAGTATACAACGGGAATCTTTAAAAGTTCGCGTCCCAGTCGGAAGAATCAACGGGCACTGCTTGATAGTCAGATGGATACGTATCGAAATTTCTCACATCGAGATGATTTCTTATCTATAACAAAGTTAGCTTTGAACGAAGTGCATAAAATTGCGAGAACTTCGCACTTACCTTCGGCACAATGGGAGAATTCATCTTTTGAGCTTGCAACTCTTGCCAGTTAAAATGATTAAACCATCTGAATGCGAATCAAGAATAAATGAGTAAAGATAACAACCGCACTATGCTTCATAAGTATTATATAACATACCTGTGAGTGCGAATATCAGTGATACCACGTCGTAAATAACCGAGTCTATCGAGTGGATTACTTTGCAACAGGGACTTAATGAAATTCTTGGCTGAGCTTTTTATAGTAGGCGGAAAATATGAATCGTCGAAGCCGCGAATAATTTTTTCATACGTGTCCATATCGGATGCATCTTCAAAGGGCGTTCGCTGAAGTAAGATTTCGTACGTGACAATTCCGAGTGCCCATAAATCTACAGCCCTTTAATCAAAAGTAATAATCAGTCTCTGGAAATGATTTGAAAAGCATGCAACCAAAGATTAGGGGAATGCGTACTGATTATAAGGTTTACTTTGAATTATTTCTGGAGCTAAGTATTCTGGTGTGCCTATGAATGTTTTCGTCTTGTATGCTCCGATTCGTTTACTCGATCCAAAGTCGGTCTGCAAGAGAATTTAATGAATCAGCGAACGAACTTTATAATATTTAATGGAAACAAAATGAACTTACAAGCTTGGCGTAGCCTCGAGCATCGATCACGATGTTTTCAGGCTTTAGATCTCTGTAAACAATGCCCATAGAATGGATGTGGTGTAATCCTTCGACGATACAGGCGGTGACGAATCGAGCAGTGGAATTATCGAATCGACCGTTTCTGTACAAAGCCGTTCTTAAATCTCCACCTAAACACGCTTCCAATAAGAAATAGAGATATCTCTTGTCTTTGAACGTTCTGTGCAATCTAAAAGGAATTTACAAGTTCATTGTCTGTAACGATACAGATAAGCTTTTATAAAAGCCAATTCGACTTACTTGACAATGAATGGTGAATTACACAGTTTCAAGTTATTCTTCTCATCGTAAATCATTTTTTGTAAACCATTCACTGTTATCGTGTGTTTTTTCACTTTCTTTCTGGCAAAGCTAACATTAGCCATTGATTTCGTCAGAACCAATTCGACTCGGCCGTAACCACCGGTACCGATCGTTCCCTCACTTTCCAAATCATTTAAAGTCAAATTGATAAATTTTTCATCCCATTTGTCCGGGAGAACTGATTTTTCATGACCACCCCATGTCCTGTTCTTGATCGACTCCAATCCTCCCAGATAATCCATAATTTTTCTAATCGAAAATGCAAATTTCGTTTAGAGAATAACTCTCAGGAGAAGTGACAAAGATTTCTTATATGAAATTTACGATTTTTCTATGGTGTAACATTCTACACCGGGAGCCATCGAGACGATGTTCGTCTTTCGTTGAGATTCCGCAGCATTGCGCAGCGTTTCAGCATCGAAGTATTCACCCTTCTCGAGGATTGCTATCTCTTCTTCCGTTCCGCTCTGTTTGTTCAAAGTGACTTTCGCTCGGCCACCGCTTATGATATAAAACTTTTTTTGTTTATCCCCTGCCCGTATGACGTACGAGTTCGCCGGATAAAATTCCTTGGATAACAGTAAATTTTGTAATCTTGCTTTAATCGGAAAATCGTTGTACACGTACCACCATTATCAAATCAGATATCTTCAAGAGAACCTCCTCCGATAGATCCTTGAATACTTCGATACCTCGTAGAAGCTTCAGATTATGTTCAACCGTTTCTTCGTTGCTTTTTTCCATGATCGCTTTGAACGCTTGTCTTTCGAGTACCCACACTAGCCCGTTTGTGCTTACTGAGGAGAAAAACATAAAAATCAAATACTTCGACGCAACAGGAGTTTGATTGACTATACCGTCGATAGAACAGAGTCTCTTGGTATTGTACAATAAGGCCAACTCTCCAAAAGCTATGCCAGGTCCAAAGCTCCCGTGATACGTAGTCCCCACGTAAATCTCGAACGTCCCCTCCTCGGATATGTACATATGCGATCCTGCCTCGAGTAATGAATAATTTCTCTCAATTTAGATTTTACCCAAAATTGGACTTTCACGATTTTCATATTAATCCATATTGAAGTTCTACGAGTCGCTGATTCGAAAGATAATTACTCACCGACTTCACCTTCATGAATAATTCGCGTGTCGGGTTTCAAGCGTTTTGGATACATCACAGACATCAGCTTTTCAATACGTGCCTCGTCGAGGTCCTCGAAAAACTTGTTGTTCAATATCGCATGTTTTATCAATTGCTTTGTCCTACAAGTTACATTGTAATATCGTAATTGGGGAACTAACTATTGAAATTATCGGAGATAATTTTATAATTAGTAAATTCACTTCTCATCCTTTTGGAAAACCGCGATCGGTTCTTCGGAGGACAAGTTCACGTCACCTATCACCCCGTGTTTCCTTTGGTAAGACAGGTTTCGGTAGTACGCCTCGCTCTCTTTACGCTGCAGCCAGCCGAAATGGAGCTGGTTCCGAAATCCACGTTTGAAACAGATACAACGCATCGTGAACTACCCTATCCACTTTCCCGAACTTTCGAATCGATGAGAATGGTCCGCAGGTGCTGAGTAATTAACAGGTAGGATATTGGCAGACAACTGACATTTAACAATAACGATAACGTCGATCGATTATGCGCGGATGCCACAGTTTCATTGGTTAATAGGTGACCTTAGTAGATGCTCTTGATAAGCGTAATTCTATTGAAAATTTATCAATGCACTTTTTCCGGATGCTTATCAATCGATAGCACTTATATTCTCAAGCTTTCCTATTGTCACGTTACATCTGTGGTAGGATTTTATCGTAGGGAAAGCAGGAGGGCATTTGGAATGAAAGAACAGAGTTTACCAATTCGTATATAAATTTATTATCAATTGATAACGTTAAAATGATTACAAGTATCATTCATCGCAGAGTATCATTTATATTTACTTCTTAATTATTTTACAAGTTCTGCGGAACTCAATATCGTTGGGAACGGGGGGACTTATCGCTGCTGCAGGGATAAATAGAAAACTATTCATCCGAATTGATTAGAGATAACTATAATCTCTTGACTATCTGTACATATACTCTCGTAACAATGTTATCTGTCCCGCTATTGCAATTCTTACATTAATCATTAGTCGGATGAATCACGAGTGGCTGATTATTATTGCACGGTCTCTACCACTTAGAAGTTCGCGTCCCATCCAGATGATTCATCCGGAGGGACGTTGCGATCCGGTGGGTATCCTTCGAAATTCCTCGTGTCGGTTTGATTACGAACCTAGAATATTGTAATGTATTATTTTCATCGTAATTTCATTTTCATTTAAAAAATAAAACTCGTATTGTACCATCGGGACAATCGGCGCAGGCAAAGTTAATCTCTGCAAAGCCTGCCAACTGAATCCGTTGAACCACCTGTGCAAACAGAATTATATCGTTGAAACTGTTTTGTCATAGATCTTTTGTTAGAAATATCTCACTTGTGATCTCGAATATCTTGAATGCCGTTCCTCTGATACCCCAGGCGATCGGAGGGGCTCAGACGTAGCAGCTTTCTGATCATGTTACTAGCGTTCCTGCTGACGGAACTGGGTATTCCGACCACCTCGATGCCTTTCAGAATTTTATTATAAATGGACATGTGGTCGGATCCTCGGAACGGCGGTTTACCCACGAGCAGTTCGTGAGTCAAAATCCCCAGGGCCCAGTAATCCACGGCTCTTTAAATAAATTAGTTTTTCAGTTCACCTTCACAAGTTTGAAAGCCTGTACATATTAAATTGTCTTCATTGTTACCTGTCGTGTCCTTTGTTCAAAATAATTTCCGGGGCCACGTACTCGGGTGTTCCAGCAAAGGTCCACGTTTTGGACGGACCGATTTTTTTACTAAAACCGAAGTCGACCTGAAAGATAATTCATTGTCGCATTTAGGATTATCACATAGATTAGAATCAGTATTTTAATAATTGTAGACATACTAATTTCAAATATCCGCGAGTATCGAGCATAAGATTCTCCGGCTTCAAGTCTCGGTAGACGATGTTCATCGAGTGGAGGTGGTCGAGGGCCTCCACGACGCATCCGATCATGAACTGCGTCGTCGCGTCGTCGAAGAATCTTCTTCTATGGAGAGTTGTCCAAACGTCTCCACCTAGACAGACTTCCATCAAGAAATAGACGTATTTACTGTCCTTATAAGTCTGGTAGAGCCTGAAAATGCAACAGCAAAAATAATGATATTGCTACTTTTTGCACGGAGACATAGAATTATTCTTGAAATTATACCGACTTGCATATGAAGGGAGAGTTGCAGGCTTGCATGATGTACTTCTCGTTCAGTACGTGTTCCTGCTGCTGCTGTTCGACCATCACTTTCTTCTTGAGCCTCTTTAACGCGAAGCTCTTGTCAGAGTCTGATTTCAACGTGACCAGTTCAACCCTTCCGAATCCACCGACACCGAGGGTGCTTATGACTTCCAAATCGGCCAGAGTTACATTAGAGTACTCATGGGACCACTTCTTCAGTGTCAGGGATCGTTTCTGTTTTTCGTACTCAGCTAGCCAATCCTTGTTGCGTATATCGTCGAGGCCTCCCAAGTAATTCATGAAAGAACTGAACGTTCCATTCGCATGAAAAGAATTATTATATTTTAAAATATATAGGAAGATTATTTACTGTAGTGTAAAAAATAGATTGTGACAAGAACTCACTTTCGGTCTAACGTTAAACACTCGACGCCAGGCGCAAGAGCGATGGCATTGGCGTGTCGCCGATTTTCACCGATGTCATCAAACAAAGCTTTTTCCCCAAAGTATTGACCTTTCCCAAGTACTACTAGTTCCTCTTCACCACCGTACTCGGTATCTTTAGTGATCCGAACGTTTCCACCGCTGATTATGAAGAATTTGTCCCCCTTCTCGCCTTGCCGCACTATTTTTGCTTCAGCAGGATAGAATTCCTACCAAGTGGATACGTATTTTCATAATTCTCGATCGAATTTCATTCAAATGGCGTACTTACAACGCGAATGAGGTCAGATATTTTAGAGAGGACCACGTCCTTGGGTTCGGGTAATTTTTGTAAAACGTCGACTTGTCGGAGAAAACGAACATTGCCTTCCAGCCTTTTCTGCGCTGTTTCCATCATTATCGTGAGGAACACGGATCTGTCGAGTACCCAGACTTTCCCACCTTTCTTTACTATAAATTAGATACACAGAAAAATTAATACAGTCAGCTATTAGCAGTTATTCAATATTTATATATATTATTGATATTTACCGCTGATAGATCGCATCCTTTTCGTGTTGTACAATAAAGCGATTTCTCCGAACGCGACACCGGGTCCAAAAGTTCCTTGAAATTTGCTACCCTGATAAATGTCGAACTCCCCTTCCGCCGACACGTACAAATGTGACCCTGAATTATAAAAGAGACTGATGAGAATATGCATTCGTTGTAATAGGTAATGTTTGTAAACGTAAATACTTACCAATGTCCCCTTCACGAATGACTAAAGTACTCGGTAGTACCTGTTTCGGATACATGGCGTCGACCAGCGCTTCCACCTGATTCTCTTCCAGATTACCAAGGAACTCATTCTCCAAAATAGCTTCCTTGATCTGTTGCTTGCTTCTGCGAAACAGCAAAACAATTCCTTTATTACAATACATCATCGTCATACACTATTATAAAACAATTATACTACACGACTTTTATAAATAGGATGACTCGGTAAAAAATATTTATAATTATCCGCTGGTTGTTGATTTCATTGAAGCTTGACAGAAATACATTTGAATTTATTAAAATACAAGGATACATTCACTGCATAATCTATAATCATATAATTCATTTATGTTTTTACAATGTCGTTATTGTATGTAACAGTCAGATTGCNGTCCAAAAAATGTAATAATGTGTGAGACAATTTAGATTATTAAAAGCTGATTGGGTATTTCAATGTTTAAATGAATAAACAAATGATTATCTAAAATACTCTATCTACTAGTAGTCTCATACTAGTTTTTTAAACTGATTCCATAAATATTTTATTTTGCATAATAAATAAGTTCTTACTGACTCAGCTTGAATTATGCGACAATATATGATTTATATATATTGTGAGACAGTTATTTTGTTCCAATACAATATATGCTTTACTTTATGTACATATTGTAATTTTATTTAAATAAATTACTTACTGTTCATCCTTCTCGTAAACGGGGGTAGGGGCGGAAGGTGGTGTCGGGGTCCTACCGATGACACCACCCCTCGGGTTCGCTGGTTCATCGGAACTATCCGAGGCCCTGGTTGCAGGTTCATCATCCGAGTGGTGACTCTGTCTGGGTGGCAATGGCGCCTTGCCTTTCAAATGTGTCGGTGGCCCGGTTCCATTCGACAATGTGGTACCAGGTAAAGGACGGATCTGACATGATTTTAAAAATATTTTAGCGTTTATAGTTCGCTAATTGCCTGGGAACGAGGCTGTGATTTACAGCCAATTTTTCATAGACATTATATAATTAACATTATAATGTAATCACTGTTTATAAATATATTAACAATTTTATGTTGATTCATTCCATTGTAATTATAAGATGTTTAATTTTTTAATATTATCGTATGAGAACGATACTTGATCGTTTTTTTGCTAATTTTTCGTACTTGACATTGAATTAATTTATTGTGCTAAGTTAAAATAGTACTTTTATTTACTTACCACACCGTGAGTCAGATCCGATTCATAATTCGTTGCCACCTGGCTCCTCGTACTTCCATTCTAGGAATGATATTTACCAAACATTAATTTTTAAGCAAAGCAATTTTACACAAGGCGAATCGATGGCGATGATCAATTTGAAATTATGAAAATAAGAGGAAATGATTTTCCGTAATAGTAAATGCACTGTTTTATATTATTTATCGTTATTACGTTTACAATGATCACGCTGCCCGGATCACTGATCTGTGTCACAGGGGTGAGATTAATACTACCCCTCTGTCCCATGATGCTTGGTCTCGGGAAACACGAGAACTTCATCCTATTCTCCTCATCCCACGCATGTCCGAAGCACACTCTCTTTACACCTGAAAGCACACAAGAACGCGTATACCATCAATTCCACTTGCAGTTATCATCGCACGATCGAAGATGCCGCGTTCTAATCTCGCTCGCGTTCCTTATTATCATTAATCAAGATAACGCTTATCGCGTACACCGATAAAGTTCACCACACTTTATTGCTTCCTTTATTATGAAAACCGTCGCACCGCGGATCTTGGTGCGGGCGACCACAAATATTTGATCCGCCGTTCCATCGGCTGTTCTCTTTCTTACCAGTCTCGCGAGTCGAACGAGTGCAACTTGTTATGGTATTCTTTCAAAAATACATACGAGGTACAACTGTTCGGTAATACCTGCGCGAGAGGTCCGCCGAGCACGTGGCACGATCGCCTCAGCTCCTAGTCACATGCTCATGCTAATTATGCTTGATATATTCCGCGCTGACGTCACAATGCATTAGCACGTTCTCACGGTGGAGGATATTCTCGTTCCGCGGCGGTGAAAAATTTCCGCATCGTTGATCCGATTTCATACGTGACGTTTGAGAAACGCGTGTACGTCACGACGCGCTTTATTTATTCGTCGCAACAGGTGCCTCCTTTCCACTTGTCAATTTCAAAACTTCTTTGTGTAAACAAAATTAACGAGTTGGTTTTTATGAAGGTTGTACATTACGATCGGCCCCATTGGTTACGTTCCGAATGCATTTGATAAAATACAAGTTTAGCGGCTCGGAGGAAATTACACTTACAGCTTGAAACTGAGATTTTATCTGATAAGACACTTTGATAAAGCGAAAGTGGAATACGAAACTGGGTGCAAGGTCGAAGTTCGGACAGACACCTCGTAGTCTTTTTACAATATTAAAAAACGTGATTCATGATCAGCCGCATGAGAAGGATCAACTCTATCGTTAATTATAGCATATTAATTCTGCCAGCTGTCAGAACGGTATGTGTAACAGTTAATCTGTTTTCATTTAGTCCATCTAATTTAGAATGAATTCATATCTGTAAAATCTTGAACTTCAATTGTTTGTATCCGCAATTTATAAAAATACAAATAACCCTGACATAGTTTTCAGTTCCACTTTGCTGTATCGTGTTAATCAATAAAAGTCACGTGCTGGAATATCATAAGCACACTTTTCAAATCCGTTTGTTCTGCACCGACTTCCTCGTCGTAAATCAAGAATGAGATTATCTTCAAGGATTCGATGACTCGATGAGAGATCGTTGCGTGTAGGAAGACGGCAAGCGAAGCGAAACGAAAGTGATTAGCATCGAAAGTCTGTGAGTTCACGCCGACGAAAGGAGATTCTCAACGCAATCCGAATTCTCAAATCTAATAATAATAAAAAATATTCAGATATAACTGAATTTATTAATAATGATTAGATTGCAATTTATTAATGATAATATAAGATTACTTGGTAATAATCCTATTATGTAACGATTTATGTATTAATGAACTGAATTTAAATATTCAATTTTTTATCGTTCATAATATATTCATGTCTCTCCAATTTCTAATAGTAATATGCAATATGATAGTAAGAAGATTCTATTTTTTGTTAAAGATCTACTTTTTGTAGCCTCTATACGCCTTGTTCGCAGTTTGTGCAACGTTTCCTGCGTCGTTAGAAGCCGAGCAATTAAGTCGCTCTATGCCATTTGTCTCTTCTCTTTTGCTTTTTCTAGTGCTGTTTCCTGGTTTTGTATAGATATATTTTTTTTTTTTTACATAATCACGAGGACGTTTCACCGCAATGTCGAGTTTCGCAATTTTTCCTTGCACAATACTCGAAGCGAATGTCGTTTTTTAAATTCGCGGAATGAGAAGCATGCGAATTTTGAATAAGATCGGAGCTTAGGAGTAATTGTGGATTAATTTATTGTGATTTCATTCCTGTTATGCCATTGTTTATAATTTTATTATGTGTATTGATGGTAATATTGATTCGAATTGTAAATAATAAATCGAGATGATTTAGAAATCGTAATCGAATCGCTGCTTGACTCATCGCGTTAACAGATCTTTCCGGCTAATATTGGTAGAAATGAGTAAATGATAATTGCTCAGGAAGTGCTAATTGCACTGGATCTTGTATGCAAGAAATGCTTTACATATTCTCAGGTGTTGTTATTAGTACCGAAGTGCCTTCACATTCCTGTCTGTTTCATTCTCTTACATGACATTAGAATTGTTTATCGATGTAATTATCAAAGGATTCCTGTTTCACATATGCACAGAGTCAATAAAAGTTCTCATTGAAATGTATACTGATGTTACAAAAAAATCTTATATAAATGAATTCATCAAATATAATACATCGAATGAAATAAAATAATAATCAATTATTTTGTATGATTATTTTTATCTACTCATCTTGCATATATTATCACACAGTGTATTTCATAGTATTGTACTTTTAGGAAGAGGAATGTTTTTCCTGTTCATAAATCTTTGAAACGATCGTCTCGAAGAATTCTTAAATATTCCGTTTGCAACGATAATATGCGAACGATACGCTGGGTTACAAAACATGTTTCCTTAAATAATACTTGGAATCTTTGTCACAGCTAATCTTAGATAATTAGAGTATTGTTTAAATTAGGCTGCCTGAAAAACATGTGACTAAAAAATTATATTGCAAAAACGCGGATTTTTTTTTTCCACGTACGAAGCTGAAAATTGTGTGCGCTCTACATGAGTCGTGTTTAATCATCGGACTGTATAATCTCACGTGCCTTTGATCACTTTCGAATACGTCAACCGCGATTTTGGTCCCGCGCTTATTAAACATAGCCGACGTTTCTTTTTACTGTATCAATATTTTCGCATCATCTTGTTTGATTCCTCCTTTAATTTAATTACCCTGTTTACTGTGTCTAATCGTTTTATCGCAATCGAATGTATTATCGCGAAACGATTTTCGTAACGGTTGAATTCTCGAATCGTGTCAGCGAATTTTTGCAGTTCGACAAACAGCTTATGCATGATTGAACATCACCCAATTGCACAATGTGACGGGGTTACTTAACAAAATAACCAACATTTGTTTCTCGATACATTATAAAACAGAAATAAGGAAACGTTATCCTTATCGACGTTTCTTTTTGCAGTCGGCATGTGACATCGATGTCTGATCGATTAGATCTTCGCGATAAGAGATTTCCAGGGTTCACCATTTTTACACAAATATTTGGCTAGTTATCAAATTAATATTTACATAAAATGGTCAGAGTATTTTGGACATTGACTGTCAGTGACTCACCTCTCGGGTTGAAAATGGAAGACGTGATTGAGATATGTGTTCAAACTCGACGCAGGCGTCCTTGCGACGTTAGTCCGTCGCGCGGTTTTTGCAAAAGTTACGCGCAAAGTAATTTTCGGAATGACGGCCGAGCTGCACTCGGCGTGAATTCGCACATAAAACTGATGTCTTAAGTTCGACAAAGACGCAGGAATCTTATCTAGCCGATAACAAAGAGACGCAATGTCAACAGGCAGGTACACTCAGGTCGTGTTTTATCTAAGGAGTCTCATTCTCTTTTCATTATTAAGGTCGCTTTTCTCGTTTTGGATTAACAATAATTCTTCCTGATGCTCCAATAAAAGAAACATTCTGAAACCAGTTTCTAGACATTTCGAAATCAGTTTTTTTCATTTTTCCTTATGTCATTTGCTTCTCATTATCTTTTAAGGAATTTATTTCTCAAAAGGCTTTATTGCAAGAGCACGTTTTTCCTTCTTTAATCGAACTGACTTTACGTATCACGCAGTTTCCAAGTATTAATCAGAGTTCCTCGAATGGATAACTTAAGACGATAAAATGGACTTATGAGTAATGAGTTTTTCGACTTATCGCGATTGATGTACAAATGATCTATTTGTTTCCCAAATTCCAGAAGCAGTTATCGTGATTCATTCATTAATTTATGATTGATTTGACTTCGTCTTCTTCGTCAATGTTATCGATCAGACAACCCAAAGCAGGTTTGAGGAAAATAATAAATGGTGCTGGAAAAGTATAATTAACGCGAACGATAAGTGAAGTCGTTAATTGGCGTACAGATTAAACGTCACTGTTCTATTTCCTGATGGACAACAATAGGTATCTGTTTTCCTATTTTCCACTTTCTTATCTTCGAAACGAAGTTGTTATCGCACGGACCCGTTGCTTTTATCGTCCCCACGTCTATCGAACATTACATTTTTACCGTTTTTTACTTTCTTTCTTTCGGCGGTACCCTGCACGTTCACGATGAAACAGCTGTTTTCATACGAGGCTGTCGACATTTTCTCATCAGCCCACATGTAAAAACAATCCGTCCTAACGCTTGTCACGACAGTAAGCCGTGATTCATGAAAAACTCGTGACGCCGGTAAAACTTACAATTGCCCGTACATGGATCATCCAAGTAAAGTAATTCGCGCTCCATTTCATCGGAACGTTACATTACACTCGACTGTTAAAAAGTGACACTGAAGAATTCGCCAGCCACGTGAACGTGAAATGCTTCCAAATCTAATCTCGAGACCTCACGCGATTCATTTGCACGATCAACAGGTAAACAACGATCAACAACAAATCCAATATTTCTTCGTTCGTAAGTATTAGGAATCTTCCAAGTACTTATTGTTTATCAGAAAATCTACCTATTCCAGATTTGTAGCTAAATCAGAAATTATCTTAAATCAAAGATTTTAGTGGTTGTAATTATAGAAGATATCATGTAACAAATCACGCGATAAATGAATAAAACTTCATGTAGTAATTTTAATAAAAAATCAGCATTCTTGAAACTTTTCAATCTTTGATATTAGAATTTGCTGTAGAAAAATTTGGAGAAGTGTTTTGGGAGATAAATCACTGATTAGAATACCTGAGAATTCGTGGAATTTTTTTTATCAATTAAAATAAAAGAAAATGAATGTAAATTGTTCCTAGAAGTTTAATTACATGTGCAGACAGTTCTAAGTAATAAGATGAATGCCCCAATTTCTGCTGAATCTTTATGCACTTTTGTATACTGTATGTTTTTTTTTACATGCTTGATTTTGCTATAAGTATAACTATATTTGTTATAAATATATATTATAAGAAATTGTGACGTTTACCTTAAGTCCTATTAATGAAGTGGGTGTAGGTACTCACTTGAAGCTTCTTCTGCCGAATCTCTTTGGGGTTCCGTCTCGATATAAAATCGATTTCCTTCACGAAACTGTCGAATACAAGCAGCACCACGACACGGTTTCACTTTCGAGATTCATTGTCCGTCACGATCGATTATTCACGATAATTATTAATTAGAAAGGCTCTTTAGCATCCGCTATCAGAAGTAATAGCTTTCATTTTTTATTCGTCACACGTGTATCTTCGCAAGGATTAAAATTCACCGGTGAAATATTCGATCATTCAGTTCAGTCGAGCCTGTCAGTGAAACGAATAATTGTAGATATTGTCGAGTGACTGATAATTGTTTGACATGATGCCCGGGGAGAGAATGCGAACGCGATTGAGTGTCGATCGAAGAACTCGCGATGAATTTTCGTTCGCGGTGTTATCGACAGACCGCCGGTCTCAATACCACTAGCCTGAAAAACACACGCGCTCGTTTTCTATCGCGAGCGTGACAGTGGGGGTACTGGTGATTATTAACGTTTGGCACCTTATCCGAGGCGCCGATTACACGTACGCGCTACCACTCGTAATCAGTAGCAGCGGGTACAATCGAAGATAGTTTCCAAATAAGTTGCGACAGTGACATAAATCTAAATGTCATTTATCAATTGTTTCCAGATAAAACCAGAGTTGTACTGGATATGAGCCGGATATGGAATGAGTTTTAATTGACCAATTCTTGCCTTTGATCCTTTTTGTACATTAAGTATTTAAGAAAGTATATTTATATAAAACAGATTTTCATTGTTTGAATCTTATCGAACATGTTATATATTTTAGATCGATCAACGATCATTTTAACACATCTTAGACGTACATAAAAGAATATTCAATTCCTATGTTATCTTTATTCATATAAAAAATAAATACTCGTCACGGTTTAACATGTAATAAGTTTCATTCTTCTCATCAGTTTCCTCGTTCAATTTTCTTCGTTGGACTTCAGCATGTTCGCGAAGGAACCGGCTTGTCGTTGACTCAAATCGATCGGTGACCCATCCTCAACGATTTTACCTTCATGGTAAACGATCACTCGGTCACAGTCGAGTAACGCTGATACTCGATGCTTAAAACAAACGAAGACAGAGTTGATACATCTGTCCTTTCCAGTTGAGATAAAGAAATTAGAGATAAAATTTCGTTACCGCGATTGCGATCACCGTGCGATTCTCAAACGCAGTCGAAACTGCATTTAGGAGACTCTTTTCCGTGGCTGCGTCGAGCGCACTGGTCGCTTCGTCCAAAATAACAATAGAAGACTTCCTGAGAATCGCTCGCGCCATGCAGAGCAGCTGCAGTTGTCCGGAAGAGAAGTTCTCGCCCCCCTCTTTCACTTCGTAATCTGTTTCGTGTGTTAAAAAAGTATTTCATTCAAGTAGGATATCTAAGATTTATAACTTGCAAATGATATTCATTCTAGGAATCCAAAATTTTATCCATTCTAGTTCGATTAAATGTCTTTAATAAAAAATATAGGTGGTAGATTATTTTTTTATATATTGATAAGTTTTGTAAAATTGATTGAACTGATTTACTTAGTCCTTCGGGATGCGAGGCAACGATGTCCTTAATCTGCGCCAATTCTAAAGCGTTCCACAATTCCCTGTCTTCGTGTTCGGAAAGAGGATCCAAATTTTCTCTAAGGAAGATTACGTTCGATATATTATGAGCCTCTTTA